ATTACTGTAAAATATATGAGGTTCCAAGGAGTTTTGTGTGACTCTTGTTATATTTATGAAAATGGCTTTTCAAGACCTACAGCCTGTGCAAGCAAGAGAGACAAGCTTGCATGCTTCTTCAGATGGTTTTCAGACTGCCGTGTACACCTTGGTATTGCTATACACAAGACAAGGATCAAAATAAACAGTCTTAAATGCTTCCGATTAGCCACTTTATTCTTAGTTAGAATTACATCAAAGAGAAATCAGATTTATTTTTTTTTTCTCCTGAGAGCTGCTGTATATCATTATAATGATTCAATGTGTTATATAATACACTTAAAACTGAAAGTGATCATTTTCTGAAGCAGAATTTCTTAGCATGAAGTACTTTGATTTGATTTCTTGCACTGGACTTACATCTTACATCTTATTTTAAAGGAGGTTTCTGGTTTATACAAGCAATCTGTATATCTGTTTTAATTGACTTGCTGTCTGGATGTGTACTTTATCTTTCTGTCATTTGATTTTTCATATCTTTTATCTACTTCTAAAACGTAAGGCACAAATTTAAAAAATGCCTACGTGCTTTGGTGTATTCTGCATGTGATTTTTATCTATAGAGAAGCAGAGTTCGCCATGAACAAGACAAAACAGCCTAGAACAGCAAAAGGAAACTGGCTGAAAATGCAGAATTCAGAAGCTTGACTTATCTTGTGGGCAAGAAACATAATGTGTCTGTGACAGCCATACTTTTCGTATACTCCTCCATCATCCATCGGCTGTGTGCAGGTGGATCAGAAGCTGGGCTCCTGCACCACTCTCTGTGCCATTGCAACAGGAGCCTGTGACGGTCACCCCTCAGCACGAGGATTTTGTGCTCATGCACAACTTCCGAGGGATTTAGCAGGCCTCGCTTTGTGTTGCTGCTGACCACACACCTCAAAGGCTGGACATTGCCTTACCAGATGCACCTTTGTTTTTCCCAAAATGTCAAAATCTTTCACAACAGAGTATTCAGAGAAAAGATAGAAGCCCAGCTCTGCTGTCTTCCTTTGCACCCTGTTGATGGCACTGACACTGCTCTCGGTGATAGCCAGCATCTCTGCAGCCTCTGGGTCGGGGACAGACCAAGATGAGAACGTGCTCCAGACTTATATTCCAGATGTGAATTTATTTTCAGTTTGGAGAAGAGTTTTTGAGCCCAGCAAAAAATGCTGACCAATCTACTGGTCAGCTCATTTTCCAGCTTACGCTGGTTTCTGGACCTGCCTTTCCAGGGCAGACTGAGCCTGACAAATCGTTGGCAATTTCACTCCCACTGGAATGGAGAAGCTCGACGTTCTTGAAATGGAAATTCACAGTTGGCAACAATGGCTCTGCTTTTAATATTATCTAATAATGTGAGTTTTTTGTGAGGGAAATCTGAAAGGAATTTATTTTTATTTTTCTTCTTTAAGTCAGTGTTTCTACCTTGCTGTCATTTCTGACCTTGGAAGCAGATAGGTAAATGCACTTCACATCCATCGCTGCTGCTGCCACGGGAAGCAACTGAGTAGCAGCTTGCGGTTAGGTGGAATAAAACCTGTGCTGAGCCCAGAGGCTGAGCTCAGCATGTCAGTGCTGCAGGCTGGAGGCTGCAGCACTGCCCGCCCAGAGGGGGCTGAGGGGGGCCGGGCAGCGCCTTTGGACAGGCGCACGCTGCTGGAGGCACTGGTGCCTGCCAGCCGTCAGTCCCTCGCTTCTGGTTGGGAAAGCAGCTCTGCCTGCGAGGCGCTCTGTGACCGTGGTGTCTTTTAAAGAATCGAATAATCTGTGTTTATGGTTTCCTACAAATTAAGCCGTTCATAGCAAGTGCCTCTGCAAGTGCAAAAAAGAGTCAGACATGGGATTAAAAATTGAATCATTCTCTAATTCATTAACTAATTCATGGTGAAATGCTGTTTTTCCTTTTCTGGTCTTAAAAGTGATTCCAAATGATTGGTTCCTCTTTTCTGCAGTGCTTTATTTCAGAGTCTGCGTGATTAGTGTAGCATTGTGTGCCTAGTGAATATTGACAGAAATCTATCTAAAGCTCATTCACTCAGATCTTGAACAGCTGCTTATTTCATGCTAATTTCTTTTACTTCTTGGGACCATTTTATGGATGGATTTTTTGTTGGTTCAGATATTCGCAAGTGCTTGTCCTTCATGGATGAAATCCTGACCTGCTTGTTGCAATCAGTGGGAATTTTGCCACCGGCTAGGATTTCACCCTGTGTAAAAATTGCGTGCTGCCAGACACCAACACGAGAAGCATATTACATGGCAGCATTTCTTCCAATGTCCCTTGCTCTGTTGTCACATTTAAAACTCAGCTTTCCATGGGCAAAGGCTTCCTGTGGTCATTGCAAAGAAATAAGCAAACAGCAGGCAGTAGATTCCTTTTTGAAGCAAAGGTGTTTTGTTTGCTGAGAGTAGACTGTGTGCCCATGCACCTACAAACTGATTTGCTGATACTGAAGACAGTGAATAATTCATTCTTCAAATGAAAGTCTTTCCCCTTCAGGTGGACTGCTGGACTCCAACACATCCAGCACTGCTTTGGAGTAAGCTAGATGGATGTTACCTCCCTGCTTACTGCCCTCGGTGCTTTGCTGGTACAACCAGGCTCCCGTGTCAGCCAGTCTTCTGCAGGGGTTGCTGATGAGGTTTTATAGTCATTTCTGTAGTTGGATTTTATCGTCATTTCTGTAGCTGGACATTCAGTTCATTCTGGAGTGAGTTACGAAACTGTGGGCAACTGTAACACACCTGGGGGTCAGCTAGGGATATGGTGAAAGGACTCTGCTGGAGACAGCTGCGGTGCTGTGCCACACGAGATGCAGAGGGGATCAGCCCTGCTGGAAGCTCTGACTGCTGCTCTGCAGGTGCTGCTGCCCCTGCTGCTGAGCTCTGAGCTCTCTCCAGGAGCATGGCAGCTGCACCAGGAGACCATGAGTGGGGTTCTGCTCTTTGCAGCTCCTTTGGAGCTGCAGAACCCACATTCAGCATCCTTTTGTCATCCTGAGCTTCTGCTTCCACTGTTGATCATCTCAGTTTTGTATCAATGTCCTGTTTCCCAAACCTGTTACTCAGCTGAACCCAGATGTGATATTTACCAAGTCCGACTTTTCAGTTAAAGCGATCTTTAAAACCAGGTGTAGAGTTTGACCTTCTTTTATTTATTTATTTATTTATTTATTTATTTATTTATTTATTTAATTATTAATTTTTACTTCTTCTTTCTTTATCAATGTCTGAAGCTACCTCCCCTGGTGCTGTTTGGCACACTGAGTAATCGCCCAGCTGTGAGCAGCCGGAGCTCAGCCTCAGCCCAGTCCCCAGTGGTGCCACGTGGGGCCTTACAGCTCAGTGGGGGTCTGTGTGGCCATCCCCCAGCTGGCCAGCTCCATTTTCACTAGGAAAAAATACAAAAAGCCATATTAGACTACCTGAAGTCTGATTTTTATGACATGCTTCAGTGCTTACTATGCAAGTATAACGAGTACATCTTTAAATACTGAGCTAGAAATTCTAGCTTATGTTTAAGGATTAAGATAATCATTAACCCGAGGCTATGGAGATATTGCCCTATGCCCTATTATGTCCTTTAGTTTGTAATGATTGCATCAACTGAACTTTACTGAGGTGAGTGCTGCTCTTTTTTATTTAAATGGGATGGCATGTGGTGGAAAAGCTTGCGCTGTGAAGCGAGCGTTTCCAGAGTAGGGTCATTAGCCCGCTCAATTTACGAACAGGCTGACTCTCTGCAAACAGTTGTGTCATAGGAAAGGATAATGGAATTTTTGGGTTGTGTAAAAAGAGTGGTGTATTTTCTGTCTGCTGCGGTCTCTGTTTGTCACTGCATTTTGACCAAGCGGCAGGTACATGAGCCCATTTGAGGATCTCATGCAATGCGCAGCTGCAGAAAAAGCCTGGAAATTGTTTTTCTTCAATGTGGTCAGAATCAGACCCCAAGCAAGAGGAAGACAGAAATGACATTACTTCCATAGCTTTTAATTTGGGCACGAAGGGATGCATCTGAGTGTGGGCCGGTGGCAGGAGCTGTGCTGGGCGTGCGGTGCGGCAGGGACAGCCTCTGGCACGGTGCAGGTTGGCGACCTGCCTTCCCCTGCCGCTGCTTCTGCCCATCGCTTCTTCCTCAAACAGTGCTGGGCTGATCGGAGCACGGCAGTGCAGCCTCGAGAGGTTTTGCACACCCAGCTCCAACCCAGAAATACTTGATCAGTGTTGCTTAATTCCTCAGACTGGGAAAATATGCACTATAAAAATGCTTGTTTGGAGGGCGTTTCATAGCAGATGATGTGTTGGAAAGTAGGTCTGAACTAGACCCAGGAGAATTAACAGCATCCTCCAAAGATACCAAGGACTATGGTTTATTTAAGAGATGGTTATTAAGGGACGAGGCAGTAGCGATCTCTGCGCGAAGGGGAGTGTGAGCTGGAATACATTGGGATTGGAATTTGCATTCAGAAATGACCGAGAAGTTTCCTACACGCAGCAGATTCTGATGTCACTTTTCCACTGGGAGCCACAGCTGACTCCTGGCATCCCTGGGAAGAGGAGCGTAGCTGCAGTCATAACACTGCGGAGCTTTTCTTCAAACCCCTAATAGTATGCTTAACTAACATCTAAATATTTGGTTTAAGCCACAATATCCCACTCTGTGCTGTGCGCCACCCAGCAGAGCGCTGCAGCACTGGGCTGTGGGGCAAGCACCAGCCAGGCACGGGTCGGGGCCCTCGTGCCGTGGGGAGCTGGGTCCTGCCCCTGGTGCTGGATTTTCTCACAGGCAGCTGTGTTGCTTTACAGCAGCTGTGCATTTCACAAAGCCACTCTCAGGCTAGAGGGTTGTCACGTTACCTTGATATCTCCTTTATTTAGATCTACCCTTGAATCACATTAGCAGCAAACGAGCTCCCGCTGTGAGCCCAGGGCAGAGTGCTGGCCCCCGGCCCCCATCATTGGCAGGTGCTCTGCCTCCTCCTTTATATGGACCAGAGCAGCCACTTGAATCTCCCTTAGGAGATGTTCCCGTGTTGCTGTGAGGCTTTGCTCCTGTATTTCTTTGCCACGAGTTGCCCTGGCCTGGTTTCACCCAGCTCCAGGCTCCCCGGTCCCCCTGGCAGAAAGGTCTCCTTCGCCAGCACCTCCTCGCTCTTCAGCTTCCGCGTCCTTCAGGTGTGTTTTTGTGGACTCCGAAGTGTGATTTTTTTTTTCTTTAGATGATTATAAGTGAAAATGATGGAGTGGGGAATGTACTGTTTGCATTAATTTTGTTTATAAGAACATTCTTTTGCTATGGGCCAGAAAAGTATGCTTTTATGTCCATCTGCAGAGCTTCTACCTTACGTGTAAATGGCTGGTTTGGCCCCGGGCCACGAAGGATTCTTTTGTGAGCTGAGAAATGTGCTTGTGAAAAATATCCAGTCCTAAGTCAGGTGGCCTTAGAGCTCACCACCCCGAAATGAAAATATGTACACAGCCTGCTCCAGAGCATGTGTAATCCATTGCTGTGCTCCTTAGGTACAGGATTATCCCTGTTTCCTTTTTTCTGCCTTGTTCTTATCTCTAACATGCCATAGCACACTCAGGTGAGGGCTGTTTCTATTTACTCCTGCTATAACAGAACCTTGGATTTAGCATAGATTTATTTCTGTATGTATTTATTTACTTTAATTTGAAAGGTCCCAGAGGCAGGCTGCTAGTTCTTGGCACCTTTTGGGGGGCAGGCTCTGCGGACAAGCTGCCGAGGGCAGTGCATACCCTGGGCACGTGCTTCGTCAGTGCAGAAGGGAACCTCTGACCTGTGGGAACAGCAGCTGTGCTGTTCTGAAACTCAGAAATTGGTGTCCAGAACGTATAGAGCTTTGACTGCTTGTCCTTTCGGGACCTAATCACTATGGTAATGTTGTGTAGCTCCTAATTACAAATAATTGGAGAGTAATTCCGTTACTGTCTGAAGTAATGCAGTCAGCAATTTCCCCTGTGTTCTTGTGCAGCCTTCTGTAGCCTATGCAGAAAATATTTTTCAACAATCAGATTTTTCATTGTGTTAATAAGAATATTTGGTCAGAGGGTCTTATTTGGCACAGTGAATTCACCCGCAGAGCGCAGCCCCTGCGGTGCCTGCTCGGTGCCACCCAGGGCAGGCGCGGTGCCCGTGGCCGCAGAGCGCGCGGTGGAGCCGCGGGCTGGCAGCAGACGTGTCCCACCCGCTGCTGGAGGGCCAGAACCCAGCACCACGGCAGGGCAAAACCCTCCTCTTCCATGCCTCGTGTTCTAGGAGTTTTAATACAGGCTCGTGGGTTGAAATGCCCTATGTATGGTGAGGTCAACTTTGTATTGATTGTTTTGTCGGCCGCTAGAAGAAAAAATAGCTTGAGCAAAATGTTCTGTGGTCTAGAGCACTACCCTTAAAACCTTAGCTATGAAAAGTCCTTAGCTTTTAAGATAAGGTAGTCATTTTTGTCATTTCATTTCAGTGTTTGAGACTATTCTTTTTGTCTTAAAATCACAGAATCATTAAGGTTGGAAAAGACCTCCAAGATCATCTGGTCCAACCATCCCCCTACTACCACTGTCACCCACTAACCCATGGCCCCAAGCACCATGTCCTTAAACACCCCCAGGGATGGTGACTCCACCGCTTCCCTGGGCAACCCATCCCAACACCTGACTGCTCTTCCTGAGAAATGTCTCCTCACTTCCAACCCGAACCTCCCCTGGCACAGCTCGATGCCGTTCCCTCTAGTCCTATCACTGGTTACCTGTGAGAAGAGGCTGACCCCCAGCTCCCTTCCTTTCAGGCAATTGCAGAGAGCAATGAGTCTCCCCTGAGCCTCCTCTTCTCCAGACTAAACACCCCCAGTGCCCTCAGTCGCTCCTCACAGGACTTACAGGACTTCTCTGGGCACATTTCAGGGCCTCGATGCCCTTCTTGTAGTAAGGACCCCAAAGCTGAACACAGCACCTGAGGTGCCACCTCACCAGAGCAGAGCACAGGGGGACGATCACCTCCCTGCTCCTGCTGGCTGCACTGCTCCTGACACAACCTTCTTGTCCACCTGGGCACACTGCTGGCTCGTGTTCAGGCGAGCATCAATACTCCCAGTACTCCTAGTCAATATTAAAAACAAGAAAAAATGATTAATTGATGACAGAAATGTCTGTTTTCAAGAACTCTTGTTACTGAAGTAATTTTCAAATTCAAAAAAAAAAAAGTATCAGGCCTGAAAACCGGGAATGGCAGAGTAGAATCCTACTTGTTGATCAGCTGCTGTGACCTTGCAGTTTGTGCTGACAGCGTGCCTCAGGGAGATGCTGCCTCCCGCGTCTGCCAGGGTGGTAACTCCCATTTAATGCATTCCCTTTCTCACATTGGCTCCCTGCAGCCAAGCAGGGGGCCATAAAGAAGGCAGAGAGGTGTTCTGAAACCAAACGGGGCTGAAATGAGGTACATAGCTCTGCGAAGATAGCTGAGCTACTCTGCAGAGGCAATGTGGCCTTGGTGGATTGCAGTCCTGTTTCATTTTTCATGAAAGCTGCTATAATATTGAATGTATAGAAGCGTTTGGATCCCAGGGGTTCAGCGATGCTGCTGCTCAACCTGATATCATCTGCGGCTTCCTCTGCCTGCTTCTCAGGCCGGAGGGGGAAGTGCAGCACAGGAGGTCCCCGCCACGTGAAGTACACGCATGGGGAGCAGAGCTCCTCTGCTGCTGCGGGCAGAACGTCCCCGCCGGGAGCTGGTCTCGGTTCTTGCACTGCTCTGGTGGTTGCTGTAGGTAGACTGTGCGTTTGTGATTCATTGCACACCAGGGACAGTCACCAGGCCCATCCTTCCACGGTCCCCATCTCCCCTGCATGGGTGCATGAGCCCCATGGTGGCTGGCGTCCTGACGCGTGGGGTCCATTCGGTGTGCACCATCCGGTGGGATGGATGCCAGCCTTGGTCAGATTGGTTCCTGTTAACAACATGATTGGAACATTTAAAAATTCCGGGGCCCCAAGGAGGTGCTGTTGTGTATCTTGGAGGCCACGCTCCTCAGTTTTACTACACTTACGTAAACAGAAAGACAGGACTTCCCCCAGGTTTTGTCAGCTCTTCATCTTAGTCATTTAGGGACGAGCAAATGTGCTATCGCATTTCCCCTAAATATGCAAAGTCTTTTTTTTTCCTGCACTGGATATAGATTGGTCTCATTTCTATACAAGACCTTTTTTGTGTTTTTGAAGCTTACAGTCTCACTGTATCTTAGTGCCCATCCACTCAGCGAGCCTCTTCCTTCTACTGCAACGCTGAAAACCGAGGGTTTTAAGAAGTAGGCCAAGTGACTAATAACTAAAATAGACAAACCACCATTAAATAACTGTCACATACAGAAATAAAAGCAGGAAGCAGTGTCTGACGCCATAAAACTGACCTTTCTTTGGCTATTTAAGCAACAACTGAAGTGAAACTGCTGCTTGGAGCGGTGCAGGGCTGGCTGTGGGAGCGGGGCGAGCACACCCTGCAGGGCTTCTGCACCGCGAGCACCTGGTGCTCCTGTGCCAGGGCCTGAGCAGCCCCGGTCAGTCCTTGTGACCGTGGTCGTGCTTTTGTGGTGTTCCAGCTCCTGTCACAGCTGCAACAACTCTGCGTGGCTGGGAGACAACGAAATCTTGTTCTGCCTCAGCGGGAAGTAGTGGGAAAGTCTGATACCTTGTACAGCATCCCCGTCAGCTGCAAGCAGGACACAGCCCTGGGAACACGGACATCACCGTGCTAACCACGTGCGTTCACCTGTCCCCAGTGACACTGTCTCCAAATTATGGGATTTCTAAAAAGCAGGTAGTGCACTTTGCGTGGTCTGCTGCAGCACCCACCCATGTGTTACTTGAGCTGGTTATTATTTTTAAAAAAAGGCATATAAAGGAGGAAAAAATGGAATGGAGCATGTGTAGAAGATATATTGATTTATAATATTTTGATTTATATATTGATATATAAGATATATTGATTTGAGTACTTAAATTTGCAGGGTGGGAGGAAAACTTTAAACACCAGTAAAGAACAAAAAGTGATGGGAAATAAAATGATACGTGCCAAGCCATCAAGAGAAGCAATATGAAATAAAATGAAGTAGTTGCAGCTGAAAATTAACAGATTGCACTACTGGGGATAGTGAGAGCCTGTGTCTTGTGGCTCTGCTGCTTTGCTCCGGGTGTCTCTCTGGGGGTCTCGCCTCGCCCCCCGCCCTGCAGCCTCCCAGCTGCCCTCCCCTCCTGAGGGCTGCCAGAGCTTGCAGCACGTTTCACCCGGGGTGTTTGGCGGTCCCCCACCAAAGACAAAGGAAATATGCAGAAGTTGAAATGTGGAAGTAATCTACTTGCCACATTTTTCCTTTCCCTGTAATAAATTGTGTCATTGGTCAAATGCATATCTAAAGACAAATGCCTTTTATGGAACTCGCCCTGCCTCGCACCACTCTTCCCCCATCCATTTCCTCTTTAAAAAAAAAAAAAAAAGGCAAACCCAGAACACCAATTAAAATGAATTTCTGTTTAAATGTTTACGGCTACACTCGGACACCAGAGTTCCCCAAACTCCCTTTTGGCACAGCACGGGCTGCGTTGTGCTCTTTGGGTGAGCGGGAGCAGAGCAGCGGGGCTGTGCCCGCGCCCGGCGGGGTTCGGCTGCGCGCGTCCCCGCGGAGCCCCCGACCAGCAGATGCAGCGCAGATGGAGGGAGGGCAGGGCGTTTGCTGGCCCAAGCTCGGCTATTTGTTGAAAGATTTATGAAATGACATCTACAGTAGCAGACAAAGAGACTTTGAAGTCTTTTTGGGAGCCCTTGTTTGTGCTGTTGTGTTGCTCTCTCGCTGCAAAGGCTTCTGTGCGGCACGCGGGTGTTTGTGCAGCCCGGTGAGGCATGTGTTGCAGACAGGAGCTTCAGCTATTTCACATGAGCCTGCTGGAGATTCATCACAATCTACCAAAAGCCGCCTGTTCAAGCCAGGACTGAGCAGAGAGCCATAAAAGGAAAGGAATATAATTTCCTTGTTGGCTCATAGTGCTGAAATTCTAAAACGGGAGTGAAACAGAATTTGTTTTTGCCGGAGCTGACAGAAGGGGTGTGAAACAAAATAGCAGTATACAAAAATGTGTAAGGCACTGTGACGAGGCACTTAGCTGGAACCAGCTCGTTACTGTCACCAGAGTTTTGAAACCTCTTCCTAAAAATTTTAAAAAACATCACTCTCTTTATTTGGCTAAAAATAAGTAGGACACAAATTCATGTATGTTATGCTCATTATAATGTAATTATTTAAGTGCATGTGTAGGCTAATCTTCAGTAAATTTCCATGTTCACATCAAAGTACAATCTGACTTTCAAACATTATTTTTTTCTCTCCCTCACTGGCAGGAGAGGAGCCGTGTGTCCTATCTCATCCTTCCTATCATATAGGATCGTGCAAGTACTCATAGCCGGACTGCGCGAAATGCTGCGTATTGTTCTGTAGGCATTCTGCTACTCGCAGTGTAAAAGTGATCCAAAAATATTAATAGGTATCTGTACTTGGGCAGTACAAATCAGCTGACAGCGCTGCAGCGAGGTACTGTTTGTTAATCGGTTGATGCTTCTGTAACAAATGTTAGGAAAAAATGATGGCTAGCCCTTGGATTCGGAGCTGTGATCCTTTAAAAAACATCTCGGCTCCTGGAACTGCTGGATGCTTTGTGAAGGAATAGTTGCTATGTACTTCCACTTGTGCAACTTGACAACTTTGCAACAAAATACTTTTAAAGTGTGATTGCTTTGTATCACAGATGTATCCATAGCCCTCTTGTGAAGCAAAGGAAATAATTTGATAAAATGCCAAAATGCCAGAGCTTTCAAACAGATTAGCGCTTACTGCTTCTGTTAGCACAGCAGCGTACGTACTTCTAGTTAAATATTAAAAGCAACTAGTAAGCAGTTGGCTACGGCATCTTTCCATGAAGTATTTGTTAGTTTCTAAACGTGGCTGTTCAAGTATTTAATGCCTCTGCTCTAGACGCGGTTCAAAATGCCATTTACTTGCTGCGGCATACGGCAGTGTCTTGTTTATTTCGTAAACAGTGATGAGAGTTAGCAAAGGAAGTCAGAAAGTTATCCCTCAGAGGATTCTTGCTTTGCTCTGGCAGCTGGTGCCAGGCTCTGGGCTCGGTGCAGGCAGGAGGGCAGCACGCAGCCCTCCCCCCGTGGCACGGCGCTGATCGCCCGCTGCTGCCTCGCAGAACTCTCCGTGGCCAGGAGTTGAATTTCTGCAAGGTCTCTGCTTAATTCAGCCTCTTTCATTTCAAGCAAACAAGCTGGAGTAAATTAAAATGTAATACTTAGGACATAAGAAATGGAAGCTGTAGTATTATTATAATATTTTGGCATAAATGGTATTTTTCCTGGGGGGCGGGGGGAAGACAGGAAAATAACTGTTGCAGCAGGGGCTGCAAAGCACCTTCACCCTGTTCCAGCAGGATCCCCTGAGCAAAGAGAAGTCAGCAGAGCATGAAGACAACCCCAGGTTGTCCCGTGTGACTGTTGAGCTCACGAGGGGGTCTGGTGCAGGCTCTGGAGCACAGTTAGTGCTGCGTGAGGAAGGCAAATCCCACTTCACCATGCCTGCTCTGCCACTTACTGACGGGAGAGTTTTGTTACCGGTACCAGTTCCTGATTTTATTTATTTATTTATTCGTTTATTTTAAATAAAGTGACTGTAGGGCATGCTTTGTTGTTACAGTAAGTGCTGTTCCTAATATATGGACTGGGCACTTGTTGTCTTTGGAGGGAGAGAAAGAATGCTGGAAGGAATATTTCTGTGATAAAACACCATGGTTTTAGTTTAGGTTTAGGTGAAAGGCCTAACTTGTGCAAATCATGTAGGCCTTCAAGTGCAAAACAGCATGCGTGCCTAATACTTTGCATCTAGTTAAAGATGAAAAAGAGCACCAGGATTTGGCTCATGAGGGCCAATTTACAGTGTCAGAGTGATGTCTGGCACAAAGTAACGAAGGCTGGCTTGGGGCAAATAGACATTTGTGGTAGTTTGCTGGGCTTTTTCCTTTTTTAGTAGATGTGCAAAAGCTGCTCAGTGGCTGTTGAATATGTTTATATTAAGACTTGGGGACCTACATCTTGTCCGACCAAAAATTTGTTATAAAATATAAAGAGTTAGATTAATGGGCATCCCTATTAAAAAAATTGAGAATAAGACTTTTCTTTCTTTTTTGAAGACATTTCATTCTAAGATAGAGGTATCAGAGCAGTCTTTACTTCTGGTTAGCTTCCAATATCAGATATTCCTAACTCCAGTCATCATTTAAAACCTTATGTATTTGCACTGCATGGTCTTTAAGGTCCCCTCCAACCCAAACCACTCTATGATTCTGTGGTTTTGGGATACTCTGATGTTATGATTCTGTGAGTGCCTCTCATAAACACTGTAACTAGGGAGCTAAGACTTGAAGTAGTAGATCTAGCATCTGAAGTTATGGTTATTCAAGCTCTGATCCATGAAGCGGCCTGTTGAGCACATTTAAAGGTCTGGCATTCCTTGGTAGAAAAGCGGTATCAGCACTGATGTGGGGGCCATCACCCCAGAGCTCCCCAGGCCCCGCTCCCTTCGGAGTGGCTTCAGCAGGATGCAGAGGTCCAACGCGCCTGAGCAGCACGGCAGCTCCTCGCTGCCACAGCTTCGACTGCTGCAACGTGCTGCGGGGAGAGCTGCCAAAATCCCGGTCACTGCATCTACGGCACGGTAGGGCGGTTAGCGGAGAGAGGGCTCTCCACTTGCTTCAGTCACAGGGTAGGGACTGCTGGGAGGTGCTGCTGGTGTCAGGCTGATGTAGCAGGCGTTGGCAAACAGGTCTGTAAGGAATGAAGAGAATAAGGAAAGCTCTTATACACAGAGCATATTGCTGACCCTCTGCTTTGGTCCTGTATGTAGTTGGAAAATCCATCCATCGCGCACACAGACCTCCCAAAATAAGCTACCAGTACTGGACAAGCATGAGGGCAGGATGCCTGTGAAACTGAAACATGCTGGAAAGGCTGGATGATGAGTATCTCAGTTTGTTAAGGATTAGTGACATTTGTAAATGCTACAGCAGTATTTTTGGTTGTTTTCAAAAGCCTCACTGAGGAATTTGTACACTATTGCCTTGGATTAGGGAAAAAATCTCCCTTTATAGTAAATTCAGTTCCAGTTCTCCTGCTAAAATAATGGAACAAATAATAGGAGAAATAAAAAATGAACCTTTTGATAGAAGTTATAACCAGTGAGGGTCTAAGATGAATTTAGTTTTATACACTGATACAGTCCTTGACAGTGTGCCTTACAAACTGAATCGAAGACACAGTTGCGTGTGAGTTTTTAGGAAGGATGAAGGATTGTTAAAGGAGGTCAGTAATAGATATCTCATCATTATGATATCCAAGTAGTGAAGTCAAGTTAAATCTATTTTAGTATAATTAAGGATGTGGAAGGGAAAGATAATTGCATTGTCAGATGACACCAGCTGGGCAGGGATCACAAAACACAATGCCATCCTTGTGTGTTGGGGAAGAACTGATAGGTGCAGGCCAGGAAGCAAGCTAAAAATCTGCTTAAAAAAATCATTTGTGCCCATTGGCAATTAACTGTTAACGCAAGCAGTCCATGGAAAAGAGAAACCTGGAAAAAGTAATGTAAGGGTAAACAGCAGGTTAGATATTAATTTGTAATGCCACACAGCAGCCAAGGCAGCTCAGGTATCTTTGGCTGCGCACACACATGTACACAGCTCATACATCCGGGGGCAAGAGCCTTCCTCTGCAAAGCTGCTGGGTGGCACCGGGAACATGTCAGCAGCATAAACACTGCGATACTGGCAAATTGCAGAGCTTCGGAAGAGCCTTGTCCAAAAGATAAATGGGAGAGAGAAATGAGGAACACTTCCAGGAGTTAATATTTAATTTGGCTGGGTTGGCACAGACAGGAATGTGATATTGCTCTAGAAGAACATGGAGGCTGTGAAAAGCAAGGAAGGCAAGGAGTTCTGTAGGCTGTTTGCCAGACAGTGGGACTGATAACAGGTAGAATTGGGAAAAAAATAAAAATAAAACAGCACAACAGTACTAGACTTTAAAATCTGCAGAAAGCTTCCTTGCAGTGTACTGTGCTGCAGAAGGATTGCCTGGAGAGATGATAATGAAACCATCGTCAGAGGCATGCTAATGTACAGCTAAACGAAGCTCTAGAAAATGTACCAGAAAGCTATAGCTTCCCTTTAGCAAACAGAGAGGAACTTTTTTTTTTTTTCATTTCTAAAAGGCTGCAGCTCTGTGCTGTATTAGGCATCTGCATTTCTGTGCCATGTGAGTGAGGCTTAAATTGCTAAATTGTCAAGAAGTCTGTCCTTCAAAAGTTCAGCAATAACAGAATTGTTGCAACAACAAAACCGTGCTCTTCAGGGAATAACAAACTCTTACGTCTGGTGATGCACTTGAGTAAAGTCCTTGGGATTCAGGAGAAATGAAATCAGCTGTGAATCTTTGGAAGAAGTTGGCATTTTGAAGGGTATATTCAGACTCGAGATCTTCATTATTCCAGTGGCATGGAATGAAAAGGTGAAAGTAATATCGAAGAGCATCATAGTGACAATTAATTGTCACAGGTCTTGTACCAGAAAAGGGGTTTCAGGAAGCAGAAGGTCAGGGTGGGGGGATGAGCAGGTACCTCAGTGTTAATGGAGCACCTTATAACTGCTCCTGATAGAACTGAAAATATTTCTGGTTTCAGATTCACAAATCAAGTCAGTCAGAAGGTGACATAAAGGTGTTCTCCTGTGTCACTGAGCAAAATGCACAGGAGCCTGGCTGGCCTGCCTGTGTAAGTGCCATGCTTACACTGTCAGCTGTTAAGGACTGAAGTGAAAGTGAACCAGTTCTGAGTATGAACGGGCTGCAATGATCAGCTGCTTGCAGGACTTTTCAGCCTGCTCTCCAAAACACTCCCCAGCTCAAAATTCATGTGCTCAAAAGATATTCTAGCCACCTCTGTGAAGTATTACGGTATGACTGCGTGCATTGAGTAAGGGGAAAAAAATCCACCCCGAAGTGTTTTAATAGCTATCAGCATGGTTTAAGATTTAACTTGTGAAAGGCACAATGGGAAAACGCAGAAGCCAAGTAGGGATTAGTCATTTTTCCTCGTGTATTTTTCATCTGTATAGTTCCCATCTTACATATTCAGGAATTAGATATTTTACTTGTTCAAGCAAACCTCCTCCTTCAGCACATGGGGTTCACGTATATTCCCTTACTGCAGTTGTTGCCAGCCTTTACCAAAACATCGGCAGCGTGTCCATAGCAAAACTCACAGCAAGCATGGGTATACATGTATGAAGATGTGCATTTAAGCTACACAATTTCTAATGGAATTAGAAATTAGAAATTTCTAATGAAATTGTGTAGCTTAACAGAAAAAAACAGAAAATTTTCCTAAACAACAAAAGGAGGTACGAAAGAGTCTTTTGCAGCCTACATTTATTATCGTAAATCACTTTTTAAAATATAAATGTGTTTTTTTTTAATATAAATGTTTTATATTTTTTTAATATAAATATGTTTTATACTAGTTCCCGTATCAGGAAAGAGAACTTTGCTTCCAAGTCTGGATCTGTTAGGCATGATATACAGCAGGAAGACAAAGCTGTTATCTCCAAACACTGAGATGAAAATGAACAGAGAGGATACTTTATCTCCTAGCTAGGGAGAAAAGAGATTGTCCATATGTTTCCCACATTTCCTCCGATTCAGATAACCATTTCCAAATTAATCAGTGTTCTTATTATTTTCAAACAAAACAAAATGCTCCTTGCCCCTGAAAACTTTTAGAATCTCTATTTTTTCTGAATAGAACCAAAGACCTAAATAAAACTCAGAAAAATAATGAAAAAGAATAAACAGTCAGCTTTAATAAGAAAATACTAAAGCTATCAATATAGTCAGAACACAAAACGTTCAACCCGGAAAGAGCAAATCGCATGGTAGAATCAGTTTTGCTCTGATGGAAGTGGGTTGGGTTTCTGCTTTTTTACTGGGAAAAAAGTCAAATTCAGGAAGTTCCAACTGTTTTCTTGGTTTTATATTTTACTAGATCAGCACATGAACTTGTGGCATCAGCTTAACATATTAACTTCCTTTCTCTCTCCCCCCCCTTCCCTCCGCCCCCCGTTGTCATTCATCATTCTTATCCCACAGACAAAAAAATCAGCTTGAGTTGTGAGGCTTTTGCCTGCAGCAGCGGGCCATGTACCCTCTTCTCCTTGTGCCCTGCCAGTCTATGTGCTTTCCAGATGGCTGCCTATCTAATCAGATGCAGCACTGGTGTCTCTGTGATCCGCAGTGGGGCTAGCAATTTGTTTTCCTTACTTGAAGCAAGTCTGGTCTTTCACCAGCGTCTGCGGGCTGAGGTGTTGGCTGGCCACGTGGGGTGCCCACCACAGCCCCTTGTGCCCTGCGTGGGGCTGCTCCAGGCGCCAGGGCTGCGGGCAGGGGGCTGCACCCCTCCAGCACCGCGCAGCCCTCTGGGGCTTGGGCATGGGAGAAACAAAAATGTAAATTGCTCTGCTGCAGTAATGGTATAAATTGGGAAAGAGGCCTGTCTTCAAAGGTCACTAGCAAGAATATAGTTAGGATCGGGCGGTTAGGATCATGTAGTGTATAAGCATTTTTGTACTGTGCTGTCATAATTCTTGTAACTATGGATGATAGCGGTGATGGGAATACCATTTGGTAAGCTGCACGCTGGTGGAGCTGTGTACTGGAATTCAGTTCAGAGAGCTCTGTATTTTTTGTTCCTAATCAGACCCATACGTGCTATTGTTGAAGTACCAG